AAAAAAAAAAAAAAAAAAAAAAACACATCATAGTAAAACCAATACCTTCTCAGCTTCGCATCGAAGCTAAAATATTCTAAGTCCAAATAAATTAAAAAAAACGACTAAGTGTTTTAAAGATTGGAAAAATATTCTAAGTTCAAATAAATTAAAAAACCCAGCACAGGGGGGTCGCGGAACAGTGGTGACGTGGCATAGTTGATTCAAGTATAATGATATCTGACAGTGATTAAAATCACTATCAAAAAAAAACGCTTCGATGCAAATCTTTAGATAGTGTTTAATTTTAAAAAATTGGTGGATTATTCCAAAAGCTTCATAAACTGCTAGTTCCTTATTAATATCCTGATTAAGATAAAGTATGTCGAATGAAAAAGGGATTATTAAAAAATAGTATTTCCCATAAAAAAATTATATTGATCAATACACTTTTCAATAAGTTATAGCATTATAAAGTTAAAAATGTAAAAAATAAAATTGAGAATTTTCACAAAATAATAGCATTTGGTAGCCATTTTCACCGTGAAGACAAAATAAAGTCCGAAATTTTTTTTTAATATAATAAAGTAGATTACATTAGCTTTAATTTAAGATATATATAAAAGTGTCAGACTTTCCGGAACACTTTCAAAATTTAAGTTGAAAAAGTCAATTTTTTGTGAAAAATTTGTCATTTTGAATCCCCTCTGTAGGCTGGTAAAAAGTCAGATTTATAAAAAAAATATACCAAATGATAGGTAAAGACACCATTCATCTACAAAAATAGAATTATATTANATATAAATACTACTTCTCATGAAAAAATTGTATTGATCCATACATTTTTTAAAAAGTTATAGCACTTTAAAGTAAAAAATGTAAAATACAAAATCGAAAATTTTCACACAAAAATAGCATTCAGTAGCCATTTTCACCATGAAGATAAAATAAAGTCCGAAATTTTTTTTTTTTCATGAAAAGTTTATTACATTAGCTTTAATTTAAGATATATATAAAAGTGTCAGACCTTCCGGAACATTTTCAAAATTTAAGTTAAAAAAATATACCAAATGAAAGGTAATGATATTATGCATCTATATAAAAAAGAATTTTTAAGGGTTAAATTTATGAAAAAAATATACCAAATGAAAGGTAAT